CCTAGGTGAGCCCAGCTGCAGCACAGAGAGCATTTTTACAAGTGCTCCAGTGGTGTTGGGTGGTGGCAGGGGGGGCACTTTAATTAGAACAACTCTGAGGGCTCTTATACACATGCTCTGGGGTGGTGGGGGGTGCCCACAGAGTCACATATATTCAATGTCCTGTGCTTCAAAATGGTGGCAGGGGCACTTTAACTAAAGCTTGTTCAATGAGCTTTAGTTAAAGCACACCCACCACCATTCTGAAATGCAGGGACATTGAATACATGTGACGTGGTTGCAGCTGGAATGCACTAATTAGCACACTCTAACAGACTCAATTAATTGAGTCGGCCCTGATGCGTGCTAGTTAGCACACATCGGAGGAGAGGTCTATCATGTGTATAGGTGCCCCAGGAGCTGGTCTCATTAAAATGCCCTCAGTGTCTTATGTATCAACATCCTCACACTTCAAAATGGCAGTGGGGGTCCTTTAACTAAAGCTCATCAAACAAGCTTTAGTTAAATCACCCTCACCATCATTTTGACACATGGGGACACTGATACATGAGACACGGAGGCTGCTGTAATTATAGTGTGTTGAAGCAGCCACCCTGCACATCTGCCTGTTGAAGCAGGCACCCTGAGGGCAGGGATAGCTGTGTGGTGGGGGGGAAGGAGGGGAGCAGCGAGGAGGGGATGTGCCTTTGAGCAGGAAGAGGAAGGAAGGGTGGATTTTCACATGCTTTAGGGATTTTAAGACATGCCCGAAGTCTCCTGTGATGTGGTCCAATCCACTGTACCCCCTCTGCAACTGCTCCTGCCTACAAGCCACTCCACTAGTATAAACCTATTCCCAGGTGGTCACTCTGGACTGGTTATAGCACTTGTTCAGTTTTGATCTACTGTGACACTACCCATAAAAGACACAGAAAAGGAGCTCTTGTGGCTTTGGCATGAGATCCATTCTCACATCACAGATATGACCTGGACATTCTGTGGAGTTTCTCTCAAGCCTTAGACTTTTTCTAAGCTTTCCATTAGTAATGGGAGACCTGCAGTAGATCCAAAGATTTGGTTCAAATTAAGGATACCACATTCAGGGATGAAATACTGGCTCCCTGACTTTAAAAGCAAAAATCTTACTGACATCAGGATAGGGTTAGGATTTCAGCCCACATGCTCTGCCCAGTTTTATCTAAGCTTGCAAATTTGCCAGCAAAATTGGGGAAGAAATGTCCTGATGAATGTTTAATTGTTGAAACAGGTTCCTAAAGTGCCCATTACTGTAATGTCTGCATGCCAATGAGAACAGGCTCTCTCGTGACCTGGCCAGTCCATTCTCATTTTGGCAGGCCAGAATAATGCTGTTAACAGCTTTTCCCACTGTTTTTCATCCTTCTCCTCATGATCCTAGTTGAAAATAGGAAGAGCAGATACTGTAAACTGAAAAAATAACTCTCTAAAAAGTTGCCCAAAACTCTTCTGAGCACCGACAAGTCTTCAGGGTTAGGTTGAACAGTTGTGTTCATTCTCATTTCCATGACTGTCCAGACTCTAATGTTAACATTACTCTTACTCCTCAAAGACCAAAATATATATTGACTCTACAACTTTTTGGTAAAAACATTGTTGTCTTTTCAGAGTATGAATTCTATTCTTTTGTTATGGAGGGAAAATTAATCTGTATTGAGTGAAGCATAATGGATAATTGTCCATCTCTCACTGCCCATGCCCAAACCCCTTAATGCCCCCCTAAATCCTACTCTCTGGGCCTGTAACAAACTGATGCCCACACTACACTTGGTCAGATACTGGCTTTCTAAGTCCATGTCCTACCCATGGTACATTCCCTTCTTCCCATCTTTTCTTAAATCTCATTATACCACTACCTGAGTAGTCATCTGCTGGTTTGTCCTCCTTCAATTTCAGAGTGCTCTCTATATGGGTACGGTCCCGCTTGGCAGGTTCCACAACATCTTCTATCTCTTCTGGAAAGAAAGGAAAGGTAGCATGTTAATTATGTCTGCAACCAAAACAGGAAGAACACTATATGGGCTACATGCTGACTTGATCTTTTTAAGGACACTACTAAGCATCTTTGACCTTCTGCACAGTGGAAAAACTTGAACATTTTGGTTACTGTAGACTTTGGCTCCGAGCTCCGTTCCTACTTCCCATCTCTCTCTCAAGTCCCAACTAAGGCTGCCAGTGAGGATAGCACTTGGTGCCAATGGTGATTCTAACTTTATATTGTGGATAACAGTTTATTTGGTTCTGGAGAGGCTAGCAGCTGTACTGCTCAGTCCAAGCAGTACATTCCCCATGTAGTTGGAATAAGGGATAGAGGTCAATATTATGGATGTAAAACATGCAGTTAAAAGGGGTTTTGACATTAAACAAAATCTTTGTGCCATGCGTCTGTGAAAGCTCTGATCAAATTGCACATGCCAGCTTGCTGGATGGGAGTCCTCCTGACAATGTTGACAGTGAAGATTTCAATATTCTTTTACCTGCAGCTATTCAGGCCTGACTCATAAATCTTTAATTAAAATAATATTAAACCCTAGTTTTAATCGGTCTACAAATCACACTGCCTGTCTAACCATTCATCCACCTTTGGAAGACCCACCTACCATCCATTTCCCTGCCTTACAAAAAAAGGAGAAACATGCAAGCTCATTAAGCAGCAAGCACTGTCAGAAAGGTCATGTTGAACAGGCACTGACTAGCCCTCAGGGCTAGAGACAGACATTCAGAAAGCCTGAGCCTGAATTGATTCAATCTTTTTCAGGTTAGTCTAACCTGGCTAGGCTGAACCAGTTTGTAACCATATAAACATTCCCTTTGGACTGAGAAAATGCAGGCATATGCCTGCAGTGGCTCAGGCTGGAAGCTAGAGAGCACTAGAGCAGCCCTCCCATCTACAGCGCTGAGCAGAGGTGGGGCAGGGTGTGGCCAGGCCCTGGCAGGATGCTCTGATTAGGGAGGGGTGTTCCTCCCCACCCCCTTGCTGCTCCTGACCAGCCCAGCAAGGAATTGATAACAGAGTATTTATCAGCCCATGAAGAAAACAAAAGCCTCTCTCATTAGTTCAAGCTCTCCTTAAACATTTTTTCCAAGGAAGGAATGGAGGGACATTACCAGCTACCTGCTGATTAGCGCCAAAAAGCCCTGAGCGGACACTGTCCTGTCTGCCTTTGCCCTGTCTGCTTTACACAGACACTTCTCAGCATTAGCTTGCATACCACGTTCTGGCTATGGTCTGTGCTGTGGGAGAGGGAAGGGGGGAATCCCTGCTTGAGCAGGAAGTACTTGGGGTGGGGGGAGCAGGAGGAAGCCAGGCAGGCCCTGCTGTGCCTGCAGTCTCTGCGGGAGCGCCAGCCAACCAGGAAGCAGAGGGGCAGGGACAGCCCTGCTGTGGAGCAGAGAGCCCTGCCCAGGGCTGCAAAGCATCTGGGATGCTGGGAGACTCTGGTTTAAGTTAAACCAGGAAGGGGTCTGGGACAGACTTTGTATAAACCAGTTTGATTCAAATTAGTTAAGTCTGCTACTACATGCAACCAGTTTTATCTCAAACTGGCTTCAGTCATTTTCAAACTTGTTTATGTGCACTGAACATCTGTTCTGTTACAGGTTTAAATCAGCTTCTGATCCCTTAAACAGGTTTATGTGTAATGTCTGTCCCTAACCCAGGAGAATTTGGTTCAAACCCTGCCTCAGCTACAGCATTCTTGTATAATTTTGGTCATGTCACTTTACCTTTTCCCTGACTAAATTCCCCAGTAAAATGGGGAAAATCTTTCCTTTTTCCCACCTTCTGTCTGTTTAGATTGTGAGCTCTTTGGAGCAGGTTCTGCCTTGTCCTGTGGTCCTTATTTTTCTTGAGGTCACTAGTAGTCATAATAATAACAGTGAAGGCTATAGCAGTATATGGGAGCACAAGGCAAAACTGCACTTTAATGTGCATTAGCCTATTTTAGTGCACATTAAAGCATCACAAAAACCCATGTGCTTTTGCTAATGTGCATTAAAATAAGCTAATGCATCTTTTTCTAGTACGTCACAATGGAGGTATTAAATTTAATGCACATTACAAAAAGTGCATTAATGAATGTGTAGATATGCCTACTATATATACCAGATATATAGATAAATAGGGCTGTGCAAAACAGCACTGTTCCATTTCGACTTGCATTTTGACAGAACAGCGTTTTGTTTTGAATTTCATTTCAAAACTGCTGTTCCATTTCATTTCATCAAAACAGTTTTGCTGTTTTGACACGGTTTCGACGTTTCGCCCATAGACTATAATGGGGAAACTCAAAACAGCCTATAACTTTGTCATTTTTGGCCTGATTTGGATGAAACTTGCAGGAATGGTAGCCTCTTCTGAGGTCATGAAGCCTGTTAACTTTCAAGGAGATAGGTGCAGTGGTTTCAGGGAAACTGCACCTCAAGCTGCAGACAAGCAAAACTCGTGACATGGGTGACACTCTGTGTGTGTGTGTGTGTGTAAGGCACAGCAGGGTGAAAACTGCAGGCTTGCTAGCCCCTGCTAAGGCCACAAAGCCTGCCAGCTTTTAAGGAGATAGGTACAGGGGCTACTGGGTTCTGGGGCCCTGCATCTTTGGCTGCTGACAGGCAAAACTCGTGACATGGGCGCTTGTGGGACTGTGTCTGTCTTGGGGCGCAGCAGGGTGAAAACTGCAGGCTTGCTAGCCCCTGCTAAGGCCACAAAGCCTGCCAGCTTTTAAGGAGATAGGTACAGGGGCTACTGGGTTCTGGGGCCATGTACCTCTAGCTGCTGACAAGCAAAACTCATGACATGGGTGGGTGACACTGTGTGTGTTAAGAGGCACCCTCACTCAACTGACACCAAGGCAGAAAGCAGGGCAGTTCAAACAATGCTCCTGCCTTTAATGCAGTTTTTTCATCCCTCCCCCAGAGCACTGGGATTGGAAGAGACCTCAGGAAAGGATGACAGTCACTGGCCAGCTACACAGTCAATAATGAGAGCACTCCCCGCCACCCCCCCGCTTCCCCCTCCCTCTCCTTAATTTAGTTTCTGTTTCCCTGCAGGCAAGCCCAGCTTGAGCTTTGAAACGCAAAATGTTTAGAAAATTTTGAAACGTTACGACTTGCTTCTTTTCATTTCAAGGCTATTTCAAAGCTGGTTCATTTCGATTTTGCTGTTTCGAGCTCGAAACAAGTTGAAACAGTGTCAAAACGAAACTGCCAGTGAAATTTTGCACAGCCCTAATATATAGATATGTCTCCATTTTATTGTAAATATAACTATTACTGTTCAAAAAGTGTCTGAAATAACAGGGGTCATATGACAATACAGAAAAGAGCGTGCATGTGAGTGTGAATGAGCGTAGATGCCATAGGGGCCTGAGGCAGCTTCTACTACATTCCATGGAAAAGTTCCTCTGAAGACAGGAGGAGCAGGGTTGAGCCTGAGACTGGAACACCTCTCTATGAATAAAAGCATTCCCAGTCCTTTGTGTTATATTGGGCTATGATTACAGTTGACCAAATAAAGAATCTCTTTTTTTCTCAGGCATAGAACTATCCTAAGAATCTCAGCTGAAGCTTAGGAACATCATGCAGAGAAAGGCCTTTTTGATTTGCCAAATAAAGCCACAGAGACTAAGCTTTGATTAAATTTGGCACAAAACATAAGCTTAGTAAGCATGTGTGTTTAAAAGTGTAGCAGTAAGCAGTGAGAGAGCATTTCCCCAAGTCATAAGGTCAATCTACTGATAATCACTGACTAATTTATAGAATAAGTTTCATGAACATTTTTAAAATATTTGACAGATCATTTCTCATCACTCACCCAGCTTACAGATAGCAGATCAGCTGCTGACTGACCATAATGTGCGTTATGTATAACTTGGAAACACAGCAGTCCTCACTAGCTCTGTGGAGCCTTCCCGGTAATATATAGGGTCCTGACATTCATTACGCAGCAGGTAGACAGACAGCTGTGGCCATACAGAGCTCCACTGAAATCAGTGGGGTTCCCAGCAGATGTAGCTTTTTGCTCTGTTTCTACACAGAAGGTTCAGGGCCTAAGGCTCTTTCTCATTGCTTGGCATTAATGAACACCCAGTTCATCCTCTCACTTTCCCTTTTGGAAAGACAATTATTTTGTAATTAAACAAGGACCAATGAATACCTTCTGCAAATGAACTGCAATCTGTGAAGGGACTCAAAAGACTCATCCAAGACTTCCCTGAATAACCTACCTTTTTTAAACTGATATGGGCAAACAGAGAGCACAGCTCCCAATCAATGGATTCCTGCTCTAACCTGCAATTCCCAGTATAGCTTATATCCCTTGGTTTAATGTTTATCCTTGGAAAGTGCATAAACTGGACATTTTATCCAATCCGGACCCACCTGTTTTGTATTGTCAGTACTGAATCAACACAAAATGGAAATCATCAGTCAAGAGGTAGAGAGGTTGGGCCTGTGTCTAGGTGTTTGTATTCTTTGGACAGGGTTCTCACTCTCAGGGTAAGTGAATGGGTGTGAATCACTATCATCTCCAAATTGCAATGCTTGGCATCCACTTGTGCCTCTCTTTGCCCTGGTGTAAATGACTGCAAAAGCAATGAGCAATTGAGAATCAGGTTCCTTTACCGTTCGATGTACAATGACATGAATGTGAGGTTGGTGAAATGTGCCAAGCTACATCTTGGGCATTGAAGTCTTGTGTCTATCTACAGGAAAGCACTAGGGAAAAATCCTTTTCCACCTACCACCTCCATCTCACACACACTGTGCCTCCTTCATTCTTGCTGGGGAGAAACCATCTCTATGGTTGAGAGAGGAGCTGGGTTGTTGTGGCCCTTACACTCCTTGGCCTGTGCTTAGGCTGCTAACAGGTGCTCACCGAGTTGAAGACTGGTGCTATGGACAACCTTCTCACTGGGAAATGGGCAGGGAGTATGGCATTCCATTTCATGCAGACTATGGACGAGTTCTCAGCTGGCAATGAAATTGGATCACTGTTGATCATGTTCCAGTGCACACTAACAGTGCAGAGGTGAAAGCCTTCATGGGCCTTACCAGTCCCATCCCAGTTCCATCCAGTATGTCTAGTACTGCACCTTCTAACCTTGGCAGAGCATGGGAAGCTAGTTAGAGCCACACACTGATAGCATAAGCATTAAGAAGAGGGCCATGCACATTGTGTGTTTTAATGTCTGCCAAGCTCAGCTCCACTCTACATTTGCTAGTTCACTAGTCAAGGCTCTTGGCTCTTGGGCTATTGCTATTGGCACACCTAGTAATAAAAAAGTCACACCTATTTCTCTGGGCTCAGTCTCAGCAACAGCAGGAGGAGGATTGTTGTCAGGGGTGTTGCCTGTTTCTGCCACTATCTGTTCATCCACAGGTGGGTTTTTCACAGCAGCAGGGCTATTATTGTGAGAGTCCTCTAGGTGCTTTTCCTCCACTTTGCAAGGTCCATGCTCACAGCCTGCAGACTCAGACTTGGCTTCCTCTTTGTTGAGCTCTTCTTTGTTTACTTGGGTGTGTTCTTCTGTATTACTGGCAGCTTCCTGAGCAGCTTCTAGGTCAGTGTCTCCTTCAGATTTCTCCTCTGACTTTGCTTGATCAGCACCCTTTTCTTCTGACCCTACTGAGCTTCCATTTTGGTCCTTTGACTTTGCCAGGTCAATGGCTTCTTCCTCTGACTCATCTAGGACACCACCTTCTTCCTCTGACTCTACTGAGCCATGGTCTTCTTCCATTGAGTCTGCCAGCTTGGCATCTTCCTCTGACAATACTGGACTATCCTCTTGTTCTTTAGACTCTGCCAGGTCAACAGCTTCTTCCTCTGACGCTGCTGAGTCATCATCACCCTCTTCCTTTGATTCTATCAGCTCAGCATCCTCTTTCTCCAACTCTACCGACCCATCATTTTGTTCCTCTGACGCTGCCAGTTCTGTGGCTTCTTCCTCTGACTCTACCAAGCCATCATCTTCATTTGACTGTGACAACTTGGCATCCTCTTTCTCTGACCCTGCTGGGCCATCACCCTCTTCTTCTGATTTTGCTAGGCTGTAGCCATCTTCCTTTGGCCTTTCTAGCTCAGTACCTTCTTCCTCTGACCCTGCTAAACCAGCACCCTCTTCTTCTTCTTCTTTTGACCCTTCTGGGCCATCATCTTCTTCCTCTGATTCTGCCAGGTCATCACCTCCTTCCTCTGATTCTTCATGGTTGTTATACTCTTCCTCATTAGAGTCTTCTGCTCCCACCTCTGAATGTTCTATTTGTTCAGGTAAGGCAGCATTTGGCTTCTCCAGATCATTTTCCAATGCGTGGCCATTGGCAAAAGTGCTGTCATTGGGTCTGTCATGATTTCCATTGCCTAAATCCTCCTCTTTGGTATGCATATCTCTGAAGATCTGACTGGTTTCTTCTGATGCAAAGACTGCTTTGTCTTGGCTATTCTTATCTTGGTCCTTGTCTTGAGCTTGAGATTCAGCCTCTTGGCTGCCATGTTGAATCTTGCCCTCAGCTTCCACAGAGACTTCCTCTGACAGGGTCACCTCTTCCCAATGCGCTCCCAAGCCTGCTAGACTAGGTCCAGCACTAGGTGTGGCATCTCTTGATGAGGATAAGCCATCTAAGGACTGCACATTCCTTTGGGATCCCTTGCTCATTTTGCTTTCATTTTCACCAGCATCTTTGTCATCATCATGACCTGGATGATTCTCTGCTGCTTTCTCCTCCTCAGCTAGTTCCTTTGTACCCTGAGGAATACCCTGCCTCTCTTTTACAGACAGGACCTCGTTCTCTTCAGAATCTCTATTTGAAGGAAAATCTTGTTTGTCCTTCTGGGACTCTTCACTTGTGGCCTCTTTCAGCTTGAGTTCTTCTTCCTTGCTCTCTTTTGAAGCTTCATTCATGCTGCCTACCTGCTGCTCTTTGGGCAGTGGCTTCTCCATGCTGCCATCTTCATGAGGATTCTCCATTTCTTCTTCCTCCTTCTCTACACCTTCATTAGTTTTGCCATCAGCAGCATGTGCATGCTCTGAAACTGATGAGGAGGTATTTGTAATGTTCACTTCATTGTCCTTCTCTTGGCTATCACTGTTTGAGCCATCATCAGGGTTATTTATATTGGCACCTGTCTTAGGCCCATGGTCATGTGACACTTCACTCCTGTCCTGGGCTGCTGCCTCATTGCTGTCTGCATATTGGAGAAAAATGTTCTTCTTGGGAGGTAAAGAGTCTGCGTAAAGTACCCCTTCTTTCTCTTCCTCTAGGGTTGGCTCTGCAGCTGATAAGTGACTTTCAACAAGACTGGCAACATCTTCAGTGCCACCCGTGGCAGAAACTTGCAGTTCTAAATGATTAGAACATTATCAGTCAGTTTTATCAGAGCTTGCTTCTTCTCTTCACCTAGAAAGAGTCTACTTGTATCAACCCAATGTGGGGGTGTATTTGACAGTGGGTGGGTATGGATGTGCATGCAACCTATGCATGTGTGTACGTGTGTGTTTACATGTGTGCCTGCATGCATGCAAGAAACAGACAGAATTCTGTTACTTATGTCGCACATGAAGACTCAGCATAAGTTACAACAATAGTATTTTGAGACTATTACAAATATAATTAAAATCTATCCCTGTTGATTCAAGGGGGTCATAAATCCTCTTTGATTTTGTCCTGTTTTTCATGTTCCTATCAATAAGCTGGGTGCAAACAGGATCTTTGTTGCAGAGAATAATTATATTACATGATTGATGTTTAGGATATTACTGTAGCCCTAGAAAGTCATACCAATAATTGTTCTTTTTGGACTACGCCTTTTTCTGTAACACTTGCTTTTCTTACTCATTTGTGCCCTCATGCTCTGCCCCACCAGAAGCAACATTAAGGAAAGATGTAAGCATATAACTTTCTTTAAAAAGCCAGCAAAGTGGCCTGGGAGACAAAAGCTGAGCTCAGAAATCTGCACTTTAAAAGCCACTTGTGTTTAGCAAATTAAAAAATGCCCTTTCCGAGTTCTTTTTCCTCCATAGCATTTTGAGGTTAGTCATTGTGGGTTTGCTAGGGTGAGATTATAGATGTTCTGAGGAGGACTGAAGGAGGGGATGGAAGGAGCTCTGGGTATCTTGTCACTGTCCCAATAGCCTGTACAAAGTCATTGCTCCAGGATGAGCAATGTCCTTTCCTTCTTAGCACCGGTGTGAATGACGGAGAGTGCACACCACAACACTTTTCCAGCTTGCTGCAGGGTCAGGGTGAGGGAGTGCTATTTATTGTGAGTGTCCCTTCATTAGGAAAACATTTGCTCTGCTGTGTAACTGAATGGAATACAATGAATTCATTTTGCATCCAGGGAGATGTCATCTGTATTTTCCATGGGCCTCTCACTGTAATTTAACATTAGTCAACAGATGCCTAAAATAAAATATTACAAGCTCTCCTGTCTCTGTTACAAACAGTTGCTGCTAGTCTGAATAATCCCCTGAAAAGTCTAATGCCTACATACCAGGGAAGCATTTCAGAGGAAAATAATTCCTTTGTACTCCAGCTGGCTGGCAGATCCCTATCAGAAACAAATCCAATCCTCACCCAGGCCAAAGGGAGGCCAAATGGGTAGATCCATCAGTATCTAGGAGATGGCAACCAGGCTTGAAATGGGCCATTTCTTCAGCCTTCTCCCACAACACATTGACACTCCTCCCCAAAGCCACACTCCCAAATGCTGCGCTCCAGAATGAATGGGAGCCCAGCTGTGTGCGCCAGGCCCAGCCTCACCCAGCATAGCCTTTTGTCACTCTATTAGTAAATGTACTTTGGACTCACCTAGCACCACTTTTTGTCAAAAGATTTTAAAACATTGCCTTGCCCTGCCCTTCTCTGCCATACTCCACAGCCAAACAGTGTCCCAGCCAGCTAGTCATTCACAGCCCATGGAGTACAACACAGCTCAGCACAGTTCATCCAAGCATTGGCACTACAGAGAGAAAACTATACCCTCATATTGTTCCTAGACAAGTCCCAGGCTTATGTACCACAGATCAGATCACTTTCTTTCTCAAGGTGTGCTTCATTTCTGATCAATATAAACAGGTACTTAGTGAACATCTCTTATTTCTAGTAGGCCTCCACTGAACGTTTAAACCTCATAACTAGTAACTAACAGCCAAGTGTTATACAAGGAAAGCAAAGTTTCTGGAAAAGCTAACCCATTTGTAAAAGTTTCCACACAGACTCCTTCAAACTTAGACATCCTTGTGCTGGATTAATTCTGGGGTGTACATAAAAATGGAAGTGTTCACATCTGCAAAATCTGGCATGAGCATGTAACCAGCAGTGAGCTCTTCACATTGTTTGATCTTCGGCAAAACCCCAGAGAAGTTTAGCCTGCAGTGGGATGACGTACTCACAGCAAGGAGTAAACAGGGAAGGCACCAGAATGATGCATGGGTAGTTTCAGCCAAAAAAAAAAAGGAAAAAAAAATTTTTCCAAATGTTGAAATGTTTCTAGTTTTCTGTTTTGAAAGGGGCATTTTTGGTTTCAAACTTGATCTCAATTGATAATAATAAAGAAAAAAAATTAAGAGAATTGCATAACCTGAAAACAGGTTATGAAGCCAAAGATGTTGGGTTAATGAACAATGATTTAGGGGGGAGGATTTTTTTCATTTTCAGATTAAAGTAAAATTAACTCCCTGCAAATTTGCCATGTTAGTTCTACCCAGATTGAATATTTTAAAAATATTTTTTGTTTCAGTAACTGGTATAACTTCCTCTGCCTTAGCTCAAGCAGATCCTGAGTTGGCAGGGTCCATGTCAGGGCTAGTGCTCAGCTGTGGTTGCTTTGGCTACCTCTACTGGCTCACAGTAGTCAGTCCCTTGAAGAGAAACTCTTCCCTTCTCTTCATCATGGGTTTATATTTTCAAGGTGGGAAGGGTATGCAAAGGGAAAGTAAAGCAGGGGCAGTTGCACAGTAGCAGAGGGCTGCCAGACAGGTAGGGTGGGAACACTGAGGGCATGGGAGGCTTCAAGAAATGGAGGAGGAAGGGATAAAAGAGGAGCAAACCTGCAGAGCCAGAAGGGAGAGAAAAACAGAAGCAAGAACAGTAGGTTGAGATAGGAGGATATCCAATAGGTGTGGAAGAGAAGCAGGAGTAGCCGAGAGGCGGATTAGGGTGATCAAAGGAAGGTCAAATAGCCAGATTGTAAGGATAAGAGGGACAGAAGAGGGGGGTCAGACAGTGTGGAAGGAACCTCTTCGATGCTGCATGGATGTGCTGAGCTGGGAAGGAGCCAAGACAGGTCACAGGATATGCTATAGCTGGTGCTAGTCTGTCCGGGAAGAGCATGTGGAGCTGCCAGCCAGTGGGTGTGGTGACTCCACTCTGCAGCCCTGCCACCAGTGAGATCAGTGCAGATCCTTCTGCTTAGAAAAGCTCCTAGATGGGATCTTTCCAGGAGGGCCCTCAGCTTTGCTCTTTGCTTCCCTACTGCATGGTCCAAAGTAGCCTCAATCTAGAGACCTTCAGGATATGTGATGAAGATGATCTCTTTGAGCAGACTTTTGAGGATGGCTGAGGGGCATTGGGAAGGGGCTCTTAGGGAGAACTGGAGGGAAGAGGGGTACTGTGTTTTTTTGGAGACAGGCCAGTACTTGGTCAGGACATGTGTAGCCTGGATATTTTACCTCAAAATAAATATGGGGCAAAAAAAAATGTTTGCCCTTTGGTCTGGTAACTTGCTGCAGCTGACTGAAATCACAGGCAGCATGAGACAAGCCAGGTGCAAGCGACAGAGCAAAAAAATACCTTGAAAGGATTAAACCAGCATCTAAGTTTTGAATTCATTTGCTGCTACGTATTTGCCTGTGACCTTCAAGGTGCTATATAAGGTCCCACCCCAGCCCAATTTCTACCACCTTTTCCCTTTTTTCCCCCTCTGTGATCTTTAAATACATCAAACGTCAAATTGTGCTGATCTGCAGATGGTCAACTGATGATCACGTTGCAGCAAAATGGGCCAAAGGTTATGGGCTTAACACCCTCTGACATTCCTCATCCCAGCTAAAAATATGTCTAGCAACTGCATAGTGCAAACTGAAGCAGCAGCTCCTTCAGACACAAAATAATAACAGGAACTAACCCATCGGTCACCTTCCCTGCTAGGGCTACCCCACAACAAGTACCCAATTAAGTCTATATCTTACTATCAAAAAAAAAAAATCTAGACAATAGCATGTAATGATGTCCTCACCATGCATCAACTGGGAGGATATTCGACCTTCCCCAAGCAGATGGTAGAGGGATGGGAGTAGGGGGAGGGGAGCACGGTACAAGTAAGAACATCTCTCAGATGTGTCCTCCAGGTCCATTGTAAAATGACACTTGGTATCTCCCAGGACTTGGAGTTCTGTACTGTATGTTGTGGTGCCAAAACAGCTGAGTGCAGTTACAGCAGTAAGAAGTTATGTAAGAAAATGTACCTTGCTTGGATCACCTTAGGGACTAAATTACAAAAGAAAAGAAAGGCTGCCAGATTGCTGTTTGATAGTTCCTGAGAACTTTGTTGAGCCACTCTTCATGCCCAACCTGTAACGTGCTGCTCTCCTTCTCAAGATAACTTTGGAAACAGCAGGGCAGAGAATACTAGCTTCCAGACTCACACTCACTAGCACAACTTTTCTACCAATGCTGAAACAACTGTGTTTCAGTCATGGTCACTGTGGCCATGCATAGTTGAAACAATTATGCTTCCCTAAAATGGAAGAGCAGACTTACTGCCCCTCAGAGTGTCAGCTGGTCTGTTGTAACAGTTTTGTATGTCTGCTTCTATCCCACAGTAAACTAATCTGGGGCAGTTTAAACTAGAATGAAACAGCTACTAAATTACCAGTTTAGCTTCCAATTACTACTGGGGAGAGTGGATGCACATAGCAGAACATAGCACCTTAGGCTGTGTGTAGACAATACAGGAGTTAATGTAGACCTCCCAAAAATGTTAATGCGGCTTTTTTTTTTTTGGAGCGGTGCATTTTTGTTTGCACAAATAGTGGTTTTGAGCGAGTTAAGCCTCCTTCTATCATTCCCCACAGATGTCAGTAGAGGGAGTCAAATACCAATTTACCCCCTAGAATGTCTTTCCTACTGTATAGTGCATGTGAACCACTCAGTCCCCACCCCTGGACTCTGGTTGGGCAGTCCTGACTCTCTGGGAGTCTCCCCTGGGCATGGTCATGGTCACCCCAAAATCCTTGTCACTTGTACCCACCTATGCTCATTTGGTCTGGTCTCTCTCCATCAGTACACTATCGCAAGGACCCCGTCCCAATCCCAAAATATAAGCCGCGCGGGTTAATC